TGGCTATGTCTTGGGCTACTCAAATATTTTACGTTTTTGATACTAAATTAACATCTGAAGTATAATTTTTTATTATTTTTATATTTTTCAATATATTTATTTTGTTTGTACAAAATTAAAAAAATAATTTTTAACGATACAATAGTCTTTGTTAGGCTTAACATCGGCGAAAATTCAACGCGAAGCGACACGCAACGGATAAAAATTTCGACTTCGGATACGTTAAACTATTTTTTCGTACGTAAATCAGTTATCCGAAATATCGGTTATCCGGACAACCCCAGTCCCCAATTGATTCGGAAAATCGACGCTCTACTGTAGTTTAATTGTGCAGAGGTAACACACTGTATCGCAATTTATGTGTTTTATTGCATTTCAGATTTGCTGTACTGTTCGAGTCTGAAAAAAATCATCGCCCCTGAACTACAGTATATTGAACAAAATATGTAATAAAATGTCAACAATTTAAATTTTTGGTTTTCTTTTGATTAGAAAGGACATTAAATTATATTTTATTTGCACTTACTTCTGTTCCCAAAAATGGAAATATTTCAGAATTTAAGATTAATGCCTATTTTTTAAAATACAGTAGAGCGTCGATTATCCGAAAGTCAATCATCCGAAACGTCAATCATCCGAAAGAATTCCAGTCAGCGAATTTAAATTTTCGCCAGTGCTGTGGCGCTGCAATCTTTGGCCATGTCTTCAGCTACTCAAATATTTTACGTTTTTGATACTAAATTACCTTCTGAAGTATAATTTTTTATTGTTTTTATATATTTATTTTGTTCGTACAAAATAAAAAAATAATTTTTAACGATATAATAGTCTTCGTTAGGCTTAACATCGACGAAAATTCAACACGAAGCGGCACGCAACGGAGAAAAATGTCAAGATGGGATAAATTGATATATTTTTTCTTACATGATCGGTTATCCGAAACATCGATATTCCGAACGACCCAGTCCCCAATTGATTCGGATAATCGACGCTCTACTGTAATTTAAATTAATTAAGTAATAAATTGAAATTTCTTTGAGACGATTTTCCAAAGAAAAGTACCTTTAGAAGAAAAGATTGTATTTTAAAAACTAAGTATATTTCGTTTATATAAGTCGTGACCAGAAAATGTCGTCCTACAAACAAAGTGTGTTACTTTTTTATCTAGAGCTTTTATTAGTGTGCGTGCCGAGCGTCCTCTAATAGTACCTGCATATTAGATGCCATGAGGAACTACTGCTACCATATAAAATATAATTGACATGTTTGGTTCACTCAGAGTATTTTTGATTATCTTTGTTATTTCTACAGTTAATTTATATTAAATAATAATACTTCTATGACTTTCAAAGGACGATTCAGTAGCAAATCTCAGAAAGCGATTTTTAATTCATATATTGAAAAGTAATGATAAACATTTTAAAGAAGTAATGAAACCCCTAATATATATATATATATTAGGAGACGGTCATATCCTCTATTCTCTTGATCTCTTTAATTTGGTTCATGATCGACGGTTCATTCTGTTATTGTAGCAAATGCTGTAGGTTGTTTAAATTAAAGTTTCAAATAAGGACTTCATATTATAATTAGAAAGTAAAATGCTATTTTTGTAGCAAATTTTAATTTATGAGTTCGGAAAAAATTTCTTAAATGCAAATTTAAAGAGAACAATTTCTTTCAAATACAAATTTCTATATCCATAAATTTTTTCTGTTGAAAGAAAATTAATTTTTCTTTTTATATATGACGCTACCAAATTAAATTTACCTTTTTAGAGTTAATTTTTATAATTTGGGAAGAATTTTCGTAAATTAAAACAACAGCATATAAAGATAGAATTTCAAGAAAACTTCGTAATTTCTAATCTTCAGAAATTATCCTTTCCAGTGGCGTAGCGTTGTAGGGGCGGCACTTTTTAGGGGCGGCAAAATTTCATAATAAATAATAATAATATCTTGTAAAAATTTGAACCATTTTATTTCATATTTCCGTCGCACCTACGATTCGAACCGATTGAAATGAGCACGGAATAGTGTTACCATCCGGACAATCCGGGAATCGACTCACCGTCCGGCGGGTGAACTATTAATTTTACTCGGGAATACCGTGCACAACCTTGTCTTTTCTTTTTTTTTTTTTTTTTTTTTTTTTTTTGCTTGTACGATTCGTCCGTATCCATATACACCTCCATTTTATCCATAGAGCTAGATCATCTAGGTTACTTATGTTACTACCACCAAGTCTCCGTAGTCGCTAACTGTAACTGATTTAGAACCGGCATGCACTGCACATTATTCTTCGCATTGCAAAATGACATACGCATGAGTCAGGAACTTCTGTTCGAACAAACCTCACCTGCCGTCCGGGTCAGCGATTTTAAAAAGGTAGCAACACTAGCACGGAATTTTTCATTACTTATTCTGTGACGAAACTGAATTTTAGTCTTTTAAATTGAGATACCTAAATAAGGGGACGGCGAAATTTTCCTTTGCCCCGGGCGGCTGACACCCACGCTACGCTACTGATCCTTTCACTAAGTTTTCGATTTCTTGTAAAATTCTTACTCGTATATTTTTACTTACTCATCTAGTGTGATATTTGTCTATAGATCATATAATTGTAATATTTTTCTTTGACAAGAAATCTAGATAAAGTTTAACTAAATCCGAAGCCGATACTAAGAAAATGTGATTTAAGAGAAAACATCCGAATTAAAATTTGTATTTTTAGCGTAGAATCCACATATGTTAACATGGTGTTCCATTTGAAATTTTAGAGCTGAATCCTCATCCTCACTCCCACGGGGTTACATGGACGTTCTTTACTGATTTAATAACATTTTACCTAACTTGAATATTGATGTGAGAATCAGAACGTAAATTATCCAATTAATCTAATTAAATAGGGAGTTAAATACATTACCCTAGATTTTTGAGTCGTTTTGATCAAGAATCTCTCCTATAAAGGAGACCGTACGTCATTTCCTTCATTTTTCGATGGATAAAACGAAGATATAATTTCTATTTAATGAGAAAGTAATATTTTCCTTTAGAATTGTTAATAAATTAGCGTGAAAAATAAATTTCTCCCACATGTTGTTTAGATTAAAGGAAGTACATTTCTCACTTTTATGACAAAAAGGAGAAATCAACATCCCTTTTTATAATCCCTTATCTCCAGAGTTCGACATCCATCTGGCAGTCCACCCCTCTCCACGCCCCACACATCCCATCAGCGGACTTGAATCGAGAATTGCTATTGGTCAGAATTTCGGATAAAAGAGGCAATTTCCTCCGATCAGAGAGTTCTCCGAAGATTTCTCTTATGTTCCAAATTCCGAGTCTCTCTTCCTTCTTTATCCTTCTCGAAGACATTTTACTAGAGAGGCAGTATAAGTTACATTGATGTAAACCATGGGTCGCCAAAGTGGTCGATATCGACCCGCAGGGGTCGATGGAACATTATTGGGGGTCGATGTGGAGGGTCGATTTTTTTTCTTTTTTTTTTTTGCCCATACGGAAATCACAAGGGAATTTTTTTCTTGGCTCATACACTTGCACTTGTAATAAAACTTTACGGTAGGGATCAATCCGAGGTTTTGGAAAGTTGTTGGGGGTCGACTGTTAAAAAAGTTTGGCGACCCCTGATGTAAACTCTCTCTCTTACGCTAATAGTTAGGGATTTAGAATCTCTTGATATCTGTATTTGTTTTCATTAAATTTTGTTTCGTTGAATTAAAATGGACTCGTTACTGAACTCACTCCACGCCAAAGTCTTATCGCGGATCTACGATCCCTCCTTCTCGGAAAAAATTATTATTTTATCCATTAGTGTGCCTAACGCTTTAATTAGGCTGGTGTCAAGAAAAACAACTCACAGGGACGTTTTACGACATTCCTGTACCTAAACTTTATAATATTAAAAATCCATCCTAGCGACCCTGCGGGCGGATCTTTCCGATCTGAAGCCAAACTAGTAAAAAAACCATTTCTTACCCACCGGGTTCCCACACTGACAATAAAAACTTTTTTTAATCATTGCTTGAATAACAGAATATTGAGCTGTAACACTTTATTTGGGTTACTCTGTACATAGGAATACTTGATCACTAAAATAAGTAAGTGAATCTGTTCCACTGAATTTAACCGTTAGCAAATATTGTTAAAACTTTTGTGAAAATTCTGTAAAAACTAATTTATACCAAGATAAAAAGAATCAATAAATTATTTACCTTAAAAAGAGAATGTCTTCGAAAAAAACAGAAACCGAAGCAATTAAATCCAACTTGTCGCTTCAGCATTTTCAGCAATAAAAACCACTAAATAAATAATGAAACTTTAATAACAAAGACGTTATCTACAATTTTAATTAAATGTTATAAATGTATTACTTAACAAATATTTAGGAATTAAAATTATATTTTATATTAACAAATATTTTTGAATTTATTTAAACATTATGTTTGAAGTGTTTACACAAAAGTTTACCTTTCTAGATTCCAAATTTGAGTTTTCAACCGCATACAAATCTAATACATTTATATATAATTTATCCACCTAAAAGAATAAGAAACACAGATCTATAATGTTGAATGTAGATTTTCTATTATTTAAATTTTACTAATTTTAATTATAAATTGTAATTATATAGTATTTGTATTTTTACTGACTATTGCAATAAAATAGCAGATTGTATTAATTAACATCTAATCCGAAATAATAAATTAGAAGTGATATGAATTTAAAACTTCGTACCAAATTAATACGAAGGAGGATAAATAAGGTAACAACTGGTTTTCTGAACATTACTTTGTTAGTAAAAATGTGAAACTACAGCCAGGGGCACTGCGAAAGGATATCATCCTCATGTACGATAAAGGGAGGCTGCTCGCTGCTCGCTGCTCAGTGCACCCGTTTTCACATTGACGATATGCACTGAGAGGTTTTCAAACATCCTCCCTACAGCCTGGACTTGGCACCCGGAGACTTCGATCTCTTTGGCCCATGAAAAACCATCTCCATGGACAACGATTTCTGACCTGTGAAGAGCGTACAACAAACCGTCATCGTCTAGCTGAAGGGCACAAAATTCTTTTCTAATGGAATGGATGCATTGATTGCATTATTACCCAGTGAAATAAGTGCTTGAACAAATTTGCTGATTATGTGAAAACATTGTTCTTACCTATGTATTATGTCTGTAGTACATTTCTACTAACAAAGGTATGTTTACAAATTCCCTTGTTATCTTATTTATTGATCCACTCTTGTATTTGTTATAAAGTTTTGAATTTTTTAATTTGATTCAGTATAGTTTTAATATAGTTTTATTTATTAATTTATTTTTATACTTTTCCATAAACTTTTCGTTAATAATAAATAAAATACAGTTTCAAATAAACGAATGTGATTTATACCATATAAATCACATTCGATTTATATGACATAATGATACTCATGAATATGAATTTAAGGAATACAGTAGAGCGTCGATTATCCGAAAGTCAATCATCCGAAACGTCAATTATCCGAAAGAATTCCAGTCGGCAAATTTAAATTTTCGCCAGTGCTGTGGCGCTGCAATCTTTGGCTATGTCTTGGGCTACTCAAATTTTTACGTTTTTGTTACTAAATTAACTTCTGAAGTATAATTTTTTATTGTTTTTATATTTTTCAATATACAGTAGAGCGTCGATTTTCCGAATAAATTGGGGACTAAGGTTGTTCGTATAACTGATATTTCGGATAACCAATTTATGTACGAAAAAATAGTTTAACGTATCTGATGTTGAAATTTTTCCGTTGCGTGTCGCTTCGCGTTGAATTTTCGTCGATGTTAAGCCTAACAAAGACTATTGTATCGTTAAAAATTATTTTTTTATTTTGTACAAACAAAATAAATATATTGAAAAATATAAGAACAATAAAAAATTATACTTCAGATGTTAATTTAGTATCAAAAACATAAAATATTTGAGTAGCCCAAGACATAGCCAAAGATTGAAGCTCCACAGCACTGGCGAAAATTTAAATTTGCCGACTGGAATTCTTTCGGATGATTGACTTT